ATGTTATGCAACTTTGTTCAGTGCCCCCCGGAGAAGTAGGCCCCACTCGTGAATGTGTCCGCACTGAATTAAAGCTGGAGAACTACTTGGTTAACATACTGGATATGGGTGGGGCTCAAGAGGTTCGGGGGTCCTGGAGAGAGCATTACGGTGAAGCTCATGGCATCATCTTTGTGGTGGATTCCAGTGACCGACAACGAATCAAAGAGGTCAAAGAAGTTCTTGTGGACTTGCTGAAGCATCCAAGAGTAGCAGGAAAGCCTCTTCTTGTGTAAGATACCCCTGTTTACAACTGCTATACTGAGTAACCTGTCCACGGTCACCCGCTTTTGGAGCATAGATCTAAACTTACATTTCTGTATTTCATGAATGCTTTGGAATAAAAGACCAAGGGAAGAGAAGGTTGTTCTTTTTTTAAAGAAGACACTCAGCAGATTATTGCAGATAATTCACTTTAGACATTCTGCTAACTTTAAATAACCTTGCAACTACATGTCAACTAGCAGCCATTACAGTATTATTAGTCTGTCTGCTTAATACTTCTTAAAACAATTTCTTTTGATGGTCCCCAACAGACATTCTATCGGCTAGAAACTTTAAAATCTTAGGTCAAAAGGTGCGGTTTCCATGGTAACATAATGTTCCATAATGGATGTGAGAGTGTTTAAGCCTTCGAATAATACCTCATGTATGATGAGTACTACAAGGAAAAAAGGGAAAAGGCACTACAAACAATACAGTTTTAAAATCAATATAAAAAATTCAATTTTAACAAGGTACAAATTGCTGCCCTAAGCCATATTCAGTGTCTAATCTGTGACTATTTTGACCATCTCATAACAGGCTGGCCAATAAACAGGACAAAATGAATGCTCTGCTGGGAAATGAACTTATTGAAATTCTCTCCCTCGAGAGGCTGGTCAACCAAAGCCGGTCCCTTTGCCATATTGTGAGTACTGTGGACAATTAAAAATCAAAATCTGACAAATGCAAAATATATGAGAAACCTTCAGGAAGTGATTATAGAGTAGAGCAACTGATAATATGCCAGAATTGTCAACTTGTAAATGATTATGGCAACACCTTGACTGGTTACCAGTAGTTTTATTACCATATACTTTGAGCGGTTGATTTTTAATCTACAGGAGCCATGTTCTGCCTCAACGGACCTGCGTCGCTGGTCAGACAGAAAGACCCTGCGAGGCCTCAGATGGCTACTGCGAGCCGTGTGCCTGGACTACCCAGACCTCTGTGCCCGTGTGATGAGGGATGGGAGGCGACCATTAGGGCCAGAAGAAAAGGAAAAGAGAGGAAAAATAGAGAAGAGTCGGAACAAATCTAAAGAGGAGAGGTGAGTTCTGCTTTACTACTTTTACTACTTTTACTACTACACACATTTTTTTTTTGTAAGAGGTTTATACTCACCAAAGCAGCATTTACTTGATCAAAAACAGTAAAAACAGTAATATTATTACAGTTTTAAATAACTTTAAGTTTTCTATTTGAATATATGAAGAGTTCAGATGCAAAAGCCCATTTGAAATTTTCTTCTAAAATGATCATTTTTATCAAGCTTATATAAATTTAAGTTCAGTAATTTCACTTAAATGGCAATGAAGATTACCTATTAATTGTCATTTAAGTGAAATTACTGAACTTAAATATACAAGCTTGATAAAAATGGTAATTTTAGAAGAAAATTTCAAATGGCATTTAGAGGCTTTTGCATCTGAACTCTTCATATTTTCAAATGTAATTTATTCTTGTTATGGCAAAGCTGCAATTTTACATGATCCGTCAGAAATCACTCTAATATTTTCATTTGCTGCTCTAAAAACATTTATTATCAATGTTGAAAACACTTGCTGCTTAATATTTTTGTGTTTTTTTTTTCAGGATACTTTGATGAATAGAAAGTTCAAATGAACAGCATTTATTTTGTTACAATATAAATGTTTAACGTTCTCTTTTGATTAGTTTAACAAATTGCATTTTAATTACATCGTACAGAGCCAAAACTTTTTAACGGTAGTGTTTTATATGCTAATTTGTGTACATATAAATAATTAGATAAGATGTTCTTGTCTTGCAGAACACGGACAAGCAAAACAGATATCCGTCAAGAACATCACAGTGAAACTGAGAGGAAAAATGGGAGTCTGCAACCAATCAGAAATATTCTAAATAAGGTAAAAATCTTCATCATGGAAATTTTAAGAAATCTATACTGTTATATAACTCACTTTACTTATTGATTTCCCCTTGGTATGTTAGGAGAGCTCTTCAAAAAAGAAATTAAGCAAAAAGAAGAAAGTGAATGTTAAAATTAAGATGGAGAATCCAAGCAGAGGAGAAAATGAAAAAGAGTTGGAGGAGATGGAAGGAAATGAAGCAGAACAGGAACACAGTGTCCAGAAAGAGAAAGCCAGTAGTGCTTTGCTGCCACCAAAACGTGGAAAGCTGAAACGCAAAGTAAAAGTAAAAGAAGAGAACTTGGGTATACCTGAATCCCCCAACAGTGAGGTCTCCAAACCCTCTAGAGGTACTTGGTGTCAACAACTGAATACGGAAGCTTATACACACTTTAAGGGGTATTGTTCAACCAAAAATGAAAATTCTGTCATTAATTACTCACCCTCATGTCGTTCCAAACTCGACAAAGGAATTTTGTTCACCTTTGGAACACAGATGAAGATCTTTTTGATGAAAACTGAGAGCTTTCTGTCACTATTTTGCTTCAAAAAGTTCAAAAAGAGATCGTAAAACTTCGAAATTTTCTGACGAGACATTATTTTTGACAGAATTTGGGTGAACTATCCCTTTTAAAATAGAGAATCTTTATTGGCATTGATGTTCCACGAAGAACCTTTAAAACCCATGAAACCTTTCCATTTGACAAAAGTTTCTTCATAATGGAAGCAGGTTCTTTAGATTGAAGAAAGTTCTGCACTAATGTTCTTATACGGCAGTGCAGCAACACACACACACACACAAAAACTTTTGGAACCTTAATTTTTAGGAGTGTATGTCCTTAAAACTGTGAAATACAGCATATTATTTCCCTCTCATGCTTTTAACCTACTTATTCACAGGAAAAGAGGCAAGAAAGAGAAAAAAGAAGACTGTTAAAGTAAAACGAAAGAACAAGATAAACACAGAGGAAGTTCCCACTGCTTATGCACAGCCTGTTGATCTTTCAACTACTTTCGGTGAGCATTATTGACTTCTATTCATTTTGATCAGGGCTGTTCTTGGGATGAATTTTGGCTTTGTGGGAGGAATTTTATAACACAATATATGACCTTTATACTTATTGTCAATAATTGTTGTACACTGATTTTAAAATTAGAAAACAAACAAAACAATTTGCTGAAAACAGACAGTCCTGATCTGTAGAAATGTAGACTAATTTAAAGCATTTAATTTGCCTGTTTCTTAATAGACCTTTACCGAAAAGCAATTTTGGCTCTCAAAGCCCGACAGGAACAGGACATTGTTTCTGGATAGTGAAGAAAACGTATCCTGAAGGTTATCACTAAGAATGAAGAAATGGATGGCTTGCTGAACCACGTATCGATGTCTTTCACTGGATGATGAACTGAGCCCATCTGCAAACCAGTTACTGTTTTGTATTGGCTAGGAAGTCATCATCATTACTTTTGTAAAGACTTTTTGGGGCAACTTTAATATGAATATGTATATAATTTGTATTTTAATTGTATAAAGAGATTTTTGAGTTATGATTGAGAAAGAATTAAACATTCAGGAAGTTCTGTCTTGAAAAGAGACTATGAAGATGATAGTGTATTATTAGTGAAATGTGTTTATCAATGTAAACCTATATGATGAATCAGTCTCATGATTTACCATGGTGTACTTATATGATTTATTTATCTTTGAACCTGAGATATTCTTTACAGGTTTGAATAAGAAGTTGCCTACCCTTTTTTGTGAAATTTGTAAAAATATTAATCCATTTCATTTTAGCCATTTTATACTTTTTATAGAAGTGTCATGGTTTTATAAGGAGAAAAAAAATTATTATTACACAGAATAATCATCCCTGAAGTTTTTCCACCAGATATATGAACAAATAAATCCAGATAAAAATATTGTGTTGTTTTTTTAATCAACTGATTCAAGCTTATAGCCTACACCTGTTTTGTTTTGTTTTTTTGGAGATGAATTAACTCTAAAACTTAAAGGATTGGATAGTTCTCTCAAAAGTGAAAATTCAGTCATCATTTACTCACCCTCAAATTGTTCCAAACTGTTCCAAAAAAAAAAAAACTTTATTCAACAATGACTTTCGGTCTTGTGGATGCATCGAGGGCGGATGTCGACCACAAAGTGGTGAACAGAGGCCCACACAAGACAATTAATTGTTGAATAAAGTAGTCATTTTTTTGTTTTTGCGCTCAAAAACTATTCTCGTCACTTGATAAACTTAAGGTTGAACCACTGTAGTCACTTGGACTATTTTGAACATTGTCTTTACTAACTTTCAGGGCCAGCAAGTTTCAATTAGACATAGAAGCCTATGGAGGAATGAGACACAGGTCTCAGATTTAATAAAAAATATCTTAATTTGTGTTCCAAAGATGAAAGAAAGTCTTACGGGGTTGGAACAACATGAGGGTGAGTAATTACTGACAGAATTGCCACGTCAGAACCCAATACTCACTACTCACTAGCCTGACTTCGTCATACTCATATTCTAGTCAGAACTTCCAGACTAAAATATATTGTGGGCGGGGTTCGGGCGGCTACCAAATATGGAAATATTTTAGCTTAGGTGATAATGTCTAATTCATTAAAGTTCTAAATTAAAATCATTATTAAGAAAGTAAATCCACACAGTGAAGTGATTTTCTAATTTTCTTATTTCTAATAACTTGTTTTTTTCTTGGGAGTTTACACTGCAGTTGGATAGCAGTGACAACAGCGCCCTCTAAAGGTGCTTCTTAAAAGTGTTGCGGAATGAAATGCAGCCATATTTGACAGTGTTCAAGCCCTTCCCCCCTTCAGCATCTTCAGCAGGACAGTGAAGAAAGCTGGAGCGGGACAACGGATGCCAATCGCAGGGAGACTTTACAGAAGATGGCCTCGCCAAGAACAATAACCATTGTCGCCCTTTCCTTTGCACTGGGTCTCTTTTTCGTGTTCATGGGTACAATTAAACTCACACCAAGATTAAGCAAAGATGCATATAGTGAAATGGTAAGTGATCGTCGTTTAGCAGCGCCTGTAATAATAATCAAAGTAACGTTAGCGTAAGCTTTAGCTGGAGGCAAACGGCTTTGCTTGGTGGGGGTGTTAATGTAACGTAATTGTCTGTTTTTGCATTGTCCATTAAATCCGCTAGCGCTGTTGCTGCCTGCTTTTGTAACGTTGGCTATAACGTTATTAAAATAAAAAATCATATTGGCTATCGAGTTGAATAGAAATTACACTGCAAATAGTTATATCTATAATCTAAAATACATAACAGACATAATTAGATTCTTAACGAGTCGGACTGTGTAAAATAACTGAACATCACTGGAGCAGTTGAACAGCGAATTATGTGCACACAGCCGCAACATTGTTTTATGAGGCTACCGCATAAGTTAAATAGGTCAATTACGACATCCCAATGCGCATCATCTGTATGATAAATGGAACAAACGCTCTCAAATACGTGTGATTGTTTTGTGATATCGTTCTATCTATTATTTTGAAGCGGATGATGATAAAGCAATGGCGGCGCTTTCCAGCAAATTCCAGGCTATCTTCCATCTGCAGGTGCAGCAACTGCTGTGATGTCATAGACACATTCATTTTTTTTTTTTTTTTTACTATTTAATTTTTACTTTAATAAAAAGTTAATCGTTGCAATTCAGTGCAGTACAGTTGCGTCAGTATGAGCATATATAAAAAGTATTTCAAATGTTTGCATCGACGAACACACAACACACAATGTAAACTTCAAAACTTCATTAGCTTGTAAACTGTGTTTCATGCAATTAAACTTTGTTTTACTATAGCCTATTAGTGAAGACTTTGCTTAGATTTCCATTGACTCAGGTTAACCTTCAAATGGTCTTCGTTTCCTGATTACACTTCTGGGCTTCGGGGACCCCAAAAATTGATTGAGTAATTGTACAAAAAATATAAATTTTTAATCATATAAATAATATATCATTTTTTTTGTTTACTTCTCATCTATTCATTAATGCTTTGTTTTTGGAGATATAAAGTACTTTTGTATCCATATACCACACAATTCCTCAACTACACCATTAGCTTTAGCATTAGCATATGAAATGTTATTTTTTATGATACATTGCATTTATGCTCTACTAGGCCTTCATTTCTGTGTAAAAATTTTCAAATTTATGTTAGATTTTTTTTTTTTTTTGGACACATTGTTTGTCACAATTCTCATTCATTTCAATGTGGGGTCATATTGACCCAAAGACCGGAAGTGTAAACATTTTTTTTACATACCTTCAGAACAACCGAATCAAGCCCAGTTTTTTGTGTGTTAGATAGATAATGTATGAAAAGTCACAAAATCTTATTCCACTAACATGAAGGGAACCTTTTTTTCTGTTAAGTAAAAGTCGATTGGGGTTGTATAGACCACATGACCCGATTGAGGGCTACTGATATTTTCTATTATTTAATCCAACCCCTCCCCTTAAAGCTATACTGATCACAGAAACTGTCAAAACATTCAAATAAAAACGTTACAATCCAAAATATGCCTTTTTAAAAATATGTGTATATATTGTTATATATTCTTGATTCTTGCATTTTGCCTGCTTCTAAATTCCATAATAATGTTTCTTTTCCAGAAAAGAGCTTACAAGAGTTATGCCAAGGCCCTTCCAGTGTTGAAAAAAATGGGCATTTCCTCTGTACTTCTACGCAAGATTATTGGTACTCTTGAGGTGGGATGTGGAATTGTTCTGACGCTTGTGCCTGGGAGACCAAAAGACGTGGCCAACTTTATTCTGCTACTGGTCATGCTAGCGGTGCTCTTCTTCCACCAGCTGGTTGGAGATCCTCTAAAACGCTATGCCCATGCCCTGGTATTTGGTATTTTGCTGACGTGCCGGCTGCTCATTGCTCGTCAGGGTGAGGATCGGCCAGAGAGGGAGGAGAGACGAGAAGAGCAGTTCAATGCCCAGGAAAAGAACAAAGTCAAAGTTTCTTAGCTCCACATTAAGAGCACCGGGCAGCAGATCTGTGCTTGTATGATGGAGAAGGTCCTCAGAAAAAAAAGACAGTAGTCCCAAAAGGTGATTTATGTCCCAGCCTCCCAAAAATCAGTTCTAATCTTACCTTTACCTCATGTCTCACCTGAAAAACGTCTTTGAATCTAATCTAAGTCCTCACCACAATTACCATTGTGGCAACTGTTTTGGCTGTGGTTTTGCAGCAAAAGATTAAACTACTGTTATATTAATATCATGTTTTTGGCCTTCATTGAACAATATTCCAAATGCCACTTAGATTGTACATTAACTTCAAATGTCAGCTATTTTTTATTTACTTTTTGAATTACTGTACATGAGTACTATACAAAACCAGTTGTTTTTCATTAAGATTTTTTTTAAATTGGGTTAAAAGGTTAAACTTTGCCCGTCACTTTACCCTAAATTCGTCGAATTTAGATGGTAGACCTTTTCTGTAGCCTCAAAATCTTTTACAAACATCAAAAATGAAAATATAAAAGTTTGTTTAGTTCTCGATATTATTTATATTACTGTAGCGGTTATTTTGTGTATTTTTACTTGTGAGGATTTTCAAAAGGTTTGTTTTTGTTATCAATTTTGATTTTCTTGTTTGAAAATACACAGTCCAATAAAAACGTATCCTTGGAATCTTTTGTTTTAGAACAGGACTATAACATTTTTTATTAACCATTTTCAGTACTAAATAGGATGAAATTGTTTTTCTGTATTGCAGATTTTTGTTCCCATTTATTGTATTTTGTTTCGATCAATGTGTTCCTCTATACTGTTCTGCACAGCACTGCACATTTTGGTGTTTTTCTAAGTGTTGAATTTTGTGTCTTTAAAAATATATATATATATTCAAAATGTACAGTGCTGGAAGGAGTAGAATTGAGAAAAATGTCATATGTTTGTATGTATTCTGCTCCTAATATGCTGTTTGTACTGAGTAAAAATACCTAGCTGAGAACATGGATTTGACCTGTGTCTAACCCGTTTCCAGAATGCCTAGATAGATAGTCCAAGAAATGAATTGATTCTTAGTTTAAACAGAATGGGCCATGTTACACACTTGACAGTTAGGGAAAATGTTTGTGCATGCAGATGCTGAGAATAAAACCTCTATGCAGTTTACCATTGAGATTGGATGACAGTATTAAAAACACTTGTGATTTTCATCTCTTGCACACTTTTCACAAAATATTTTGAATACAATTATCATATTACTTATTACTATATACTTACATGAATATGCTTATATAGCTCAATGCAGTGGAAACCAGTGTTACAAACAAAAATGAATATCCTCACAAAATTAATTTTCAATCCACCAAAAGAAATGTTTAAAGCATAGCATAGCTTCAACTGTGTATTGTCATTCATAGCATGAAATAGGCTACATATTATTGTACCCTATTTACAGTTCTTACATTTTGATAGCAACATTGCTGTTAATCAAATATAGTCAACTCATTATATTGTTGATTTTGTCAATTTTCTGCTGTTGTATTCGGTGTATATTTCACATTTCAACCACATTGACACTGCAGTGTACACCCCAGTCCAGTAGGTGGCGGAGGTGCATTTTCTACGTTAAAACACCACATGAAATAGAGTGGATCCGCAGTGCTCAGAGTAGTCTTTACTAGCATAGATATCTATAGTAATCACTGTCGGCCATCTTGTCACAGGCACGCTTTCTGGTGGGCTCTGTGGTATCTCACGTAAGATTAGTGACCAGCACGAACACAAATACTCTTATCTTGTTGAAATCTTGACGGATTTACAAACGGTTTGGTTTCTTACAAACTTTATTAACATGGCTAATATTTTGGAGGATTATTTATTTATACACTTATTATACATAAGTATGCAGTGTCACTACATCTATCGACTACATATCTGACGTTTATAATAAACCAACCCGTTTGAAAGTGATGGGTATATTTTAAAAGTACATGCAACATTAAAAACAATGTTACAAGTGAGTGAGCTGCCTGTGACAAGATGGCCGCCAGGTGCGGCCGTCCACCTCCATTGGCCAGCAGCGCTGGCCAATGGACTGCAAAATGGTAAAAATGAAAAGGCAGTACTGTAGCCCTACTAGTGTTTTTTATTCTTTAAGATGTTTTGTGATAGCTATTTTTTTTTTTACTTTTCAAGTTATTTAACAAACTGGTGTCTCAGTTTGGCCAAATTTGTGGTAATCTGGTTTAGCTTCAATTATTGTATCAGTTAATATTAGGGCTTTGAAACAATTAATCGCGATTAATCGCATCCAAAATAAAAGTTTGTGTTTACATAATACATGTGTGTGAACTGTGTATAATTATTTTGTATATAAATACACACACGCGCGCATGTATTTAAGAAATATCTGCTTATGTACTGTGTAAATATAATTTGTACTTTATATATAAATAACATATTTTTCTTAAATATATACACATGTATGTGTGTATTTATATATACAAAATAATTAAACACAGTTTACAGACATATATTATGTAAACACAAACTTTTATTTTGGATGTGATTAATCGCGATTAATCGTTTCACAGCCCTAGTTTATATCTCTGTTAATCAAACTCTGTATACAAATATATGAATGTATCGACTGATACAAAAGGAGAGAGAGAGAGATTTTCTGAGCCAAAAGACACCCCTTGTTAACAAGTTAATCTAGTTTAACGTTACATTTAAAACGGAAAACATGCTTCACCATTTTAAATTAATAATACAGATTAAATAAAAAATATTTTTAAAATAAATTACAGATTAAAAGAAAAAAAATGAACAGCAAACATATATTTTAGAACACACTAGTAAATTGGAGTAGCCTAGTTGTTCCCTTCAGGCTCTGGTTCCCTACTGTCTATGGTTGTTCCGCTCGTGGTTGTTGTACAGGAAGTGATCCAGTGCGCATGCCCAAACGGTCGCGGCGGATTTGGCGTTTGGTTTGAATGGTTTGAATAAGCGACTGCAGACTAACACGAGAGAAATAAATAAATAATATTATGTAGCGAAAAAATGGCCGATTTATCTAACCTTACGGGGTTAGTCTCCGAACCTTCCGGAGAAATAGACTCATCCGCCTCCTCTGCGAGCAACAGAAGTCTGCGTTTGGCAGAAAAAGAAAAAAGAAAAGGCGAGGCGGATCCCTTTTCTCTCGCGGTGAAGTATCTATCTCAGGGTGAGTGGAGCAGAAAACATAACAGAAACGTATTACAAAAACAGTTTAGAGGTTTACAGTTTAACAGTAAGAAAATATGTATTCGTTTATTTTTTCGTTATTTAGTAAATCTGCCAACGACTCGGGACGAATTCAAACTTTTACATTTTGTTTCTGTATTGACTGTCTAACGTTAGTCATCAGATGCTGTTTCACATCTTACTTAAAAGTGCTATAATCTCTATTTACATTCATTATTGTATGTAACAGTGGAAGCTGGCACCGTAGTCAGAGGCAATGATGAGCTGGAGAGGAATATAGTGGTCGTGGAGACAGTAGCTGTCAGTAAAGGTCTTTCTCCGGAAGTCATCACAGTGCTGCTGGACTTGGCTTTGAGCCTAAATGCAGGTAATATAAATCAGGAGGACAGACATACACGGATTTCTTCAGCTACCTGTATTTGTTTGCTCAACATGAGAAGGAGTTCATCATTAAAAAACACTATAGCTATGAGATTAGTCACAAATGTCAGTTGCTCATCCTCATTCTGCTGAATGCCTTTAGTGGTTCATCATCACACAGATGATAAACTTTAGTTTATCCAACAGGAACTGCGAACTGTACCCGAGTGCTGAAGTTTCTAATACCTGCCACAGTGGTGCCACAGGAGGCCATCGTGAAGGGCATTTCGTGGCTATGTGTAGGGAAAATGCCAATAAATGCACAGGTAAGGGCTGATGATTGGTCTGACCTGGTCATTGGTGAAATGGCTGCCCACTTAATTTTAGCATTTTTTTCTGCATGAAATGAGAATTAATTAATTGCATTCATTTATGGAATGTGTTATCCATGTGCATGTTTAATTTAATTATTCTAATCAAAATGTCATAACTTGGTCTTCGGGTGAAACAACAGACTTCTCACTGGTGACGTAAAGGACTTCTCCAATCATTGGAGTTCACACAAACTCACATTCATCTGCTTACATTTTTAAGATCTCAAAATCTAATCAACAACCGATGCATAGCACCAAGTCCCCAGCCTATATTTTTCTTTTCAAAATCCTGTACATTTTGACGTATGCCAATATGGAAGATCTGTCATTACTTTCATTTCATTGTGACTTGACACTTTTAGTTCACTCTCTTAGTAACATATTTTCTTTTTAGGTTCTCTTTGTCCGTTGGGTACTCACTGTTTTTGACCTGATTGACTGCAAAGACAACTTAAGATCCATTTATGGCTTCATTTTCAGTTTTGTAACTGAAGAAAATCTGGTTGGTAGTGCTTTGCAAATTCTTATTTTAATTTAAAATATGTCCATGTAGTCATGTCCACTGGCATATGTTTTATAATTTCTTTACAATAAGTTTTTCGGTGTTAATTTAATGTGATATATTTTTTTTTTCTTCCAGTGCCCTTTTATTTGCCACTTGTTGTACCTTTTAACAATGCGGGAACATGGTGAGTTGTCGACTAAGTAGCTTAAATTGTATGTATGTGAATGCTACAATAGAACATAAGCATGTTATTTGAACATCATTGTGAACTTGTTTTTCTGACACCCCCCCCCCATAGTTCACCCGTACAGAGTCAGGAAACTTTTGGATATCCAAGCCAAAATGGTACAATTAAAATAAAAGCCTCAATATCCATTTTTATAAATGTAGACTTACTGCAGTGTTATAGAATGTTTTTTTTTTCGTTGTGTTTCTCTATAAGGGCAGACAACCATTTCTCACACAACTTCTAGTACTCTACAAAGTGTTCCGCCCTGACTTAGTGATGCTCTCTCTTCCAGCAAGAGTGAGGGTTAGTGTTTTCATTACTGTTTTCTCCAGCAGAATACAATGTTTCAGACTCTTAGACTGCAATTTTTTTTCTTGTTCTCCAGACTGGATTCAAGAATCACAACTCCACCTGGAAAGTGGCTCTGAGTGCTGTGCAGAGAAAAAATAAGGGTGCTGTTTTAGTTGACCAGAGCCTGAGCTTAGATGTGAAAGAGAAGCAATCCTCCAGAAAGAGGGTAATATGTCTTCAGCGTAATGCTGTAAAGAGCTTCACAGAACTCTGACTTGTCAACAAAAGGCTGGAATACATCACAACCTTAACAGATTTTAAAACAATAGGCATCATACATTCTTCTATTTTGTCTCTGCTTACAGATAAAAGCTGGGTATCAAGTACTAAACAACTGAGGATTGTGCACTACCATTCTTTTAATTATTCCCAAACATCAAATTCGCACAGAAACATGCACTTTGTTGCTAGTAGATGCATGACAAATGGTAACAATATATTCTACAATCAGCTCAAAATACATAAAAACTAAACAAACAAAACATAAAACCTCAGATTGAACAGAATCATAGTTTGAAGTCTTAAAAATGTAGTCTGTGCCCATCATACATTGCAGTTTTCTGTGAAATTTCAACTGCAGCGGCCCAAAATATGATTGGCAAAGGTTGTCTAGTGTATTCCAGCCTTAACAGCATAACAAGTTATGCTGTGAAATCATAGGAATGGTGGACATTAAGTAAATCGGTCTATGAGATGAATGTTTCTCACTACCTAATGTTCATAGAAACTACATCATCTAGCGATACCTCCCTTGAGCTCAGCGTTCGACAGCAACTCCAGCAAGAAGGTGTTCCGTCTGCAGGAGCTCCGTTCCTTCAAAGAGTTACTGGAGAACATTCACAATATAGAGGTAATGCACATATCTTTTTCTTTCTCACAATATGCATCATCTATTGAACTGAGGTGTATTTTTTGGGTCTAGTGGTGTGTTGGACATTGAAATGAGGCTTTGGGGTTGTTGATTGGCATTGATTTATTGACTGTAGCAATAAAACAGAATCCTGATTTCTTGGGATTGTTAAACACAAAATCTAATTTTGTATATTATTTACATTGCATTCACCTGATGTGATTTGTAAACAAAGATCTGCACTACTGTGGTTTGGCCACTTGGTGGAGCTAAGCCTTCACAAGACTAATCAAA